ATAAATTTTAAATTAATTGGGAATTATTGCTATTGTACTGATTTGCAATTAATCGTTATCATCTTTATCTATATATAATAATTCTTCTTTATTACATGAAAAATTAATAATAACATATTGAATTATTTTATTGAAAGTATTATACCATTAACCAAACGAGATAAACAATTATGATGCTAATAAAAATATATACCTATTTTTTATCTAAATATATCCGTAAAATGTGTAAAATAGTAACTAATAATTGTTTATCTTTAAACAAATGGTTTGTTTGAAAAACAATATTTGTATAAAAAATACTATTATCAGTGGTGATTGAAATAATTTTAAAAGGTAGTTAAAAACAAAAGGGTTAAGTGTATTTTAAAATTGGATTTTATTGTAATTAATTCGTTTGAAAAATCTTAAAATGCTTTATCTCGACATATTCGATATATAAAGTAGTACGAATTCTTCTTTACAGAACTATATTTTCTTAATTTAGCACGATATGATGTGGTATTATTGAAAGAATGTTGCCGTACATATAGAATAATAAATTTTCTGTTTACACATCCTTAATGCCAAAAAGAGTAACGCCATTTTGCTCCACTAGCTTCGCTTCCAATAACTTCGAATGAAAAAACACTTTCATTATATTGTTATATTGAAGACAAAGAACGTAAAAAGCTTCCGGGGTCCCTTTTATTATTCGTCATTATTTTCTCGATTAATTAACGAGGCCAAGTAATAGATTTGCTATCAGAGAGTTTCGTCTGGGCTCCAGGTCCAGTCTTACCATAACTCGAGCCCACCAAGCTGCAAGTAGTAGGGAGATTGACAACGAGGTAGCCCGTAACGAGTACATAAAACGAATCAGTGGCACGTATAAAATAAAACCAGCGAGCTCTACGCGATAAAAGCCATCGGCCGTATAAAGCGAGCGCCAGGCAATTCGTCAAAGCAAGCGATGATGACCAACAACCTCGGCCTCTTTATCCCTATCTATCCCCTTGCATGCGAACGAACTCGTTCTTCTATGAAGACACGTGATGGGCTACCAGTGCGACATTTGCCCATGGGCGGGCGGGGGGGGGGGGTGGGGGGATGAGAGGCCGTCCTCCGGCCCCAACATCGGACAATCCCTTTGTCTGGTTTTCGTATGCAGGTGGAGCCGATCGAGCGATTCCAGATTTCTCCCAGGAATGGCCCGGTTACGTCCTCCTGACTTGACGTAATACGAACGTAGTAGTTAGTTATTTCCCCCGCGTTGATCATGCTGGAGACAATACGTCTACCGAGCATGCATATCTACGGTTTATAAATATATATATATATATATATATATATATATATACATGTAGGGGGAGTAGGATAGGTGGGCATTCTCACCGAGTGTCTCGATGGGAATTGCCAAACAGCGAGACTAATTAGTCTTTAATGGTCTGTCTACTGCAAAGTGGGAGGGGCTAGATGGAGAGGAAGATGAAGGGTGAGGTACACGACGATCTATTAACGTGCATTCTGTGATTACTGGTGGTGCTCTTACCACCTGGGGGAGCGCGTTTAATCATTTCCTTAATTTGTCCCCTGTGTATTATTACGCTGTAATTCGGGCTTTATAGGGAGGTTTGATTGGAGCTTTGTCGCACTGCATGTGGCGGACGCTATGTATATATACATAGCGAGGAAGGTGAGAAATGAAAGTTAAATGCTTAAATTTAATTAGTGTTGTGTTAGTTATATGCGTTGCTCATGCTCACTGTCTTTCACTTACTTGTGTACTGTACTTTCTTTCATTTACAAATAATAATAATAATTATTATTATTTTTATTATCACCAGTTTATTTATTCAAATATGGATATTTTGAAAACTGATTCGTAAAATTATTATTGATCGTTATTGTGCAGTAATGATAAAACAGAACTTTTTACCCTGTAAAAATTAAATTTAAGTTTTATAATAAATGATATTTGTTTAAGCAATAATGTATATCATATTGCTTATCAACATGAATAATTGAATAACACGTTTTTATACAATGACAAACACATTGGAAAGAACGTGCATGTACATGTTTGGAGTAATGGTTCATCAATATCAAAAGACGCAAATAAATTACAAACAAATTTTGAGCATTTTAAATTTATTGTTTAAAATAAGAAGAGAAACATGTATTTAATTAATACTTGATTATGTTGAATTTGAATAATGAATTAATTATATAGTTTATTTAAAGTAATAAAATTTCAGATTTAATAATAGGATTTTTAATCAGTTTTGAATATTGTATTTAAAAAATTTATATCTAAGTTTTCATTAATGAAATTTGAAAAGGTTAACAAAAACATTATTAACTCATATTAGGAAATATTACAGTGTAAATATTAAAAGCTTTGATGGACAGCAATGTAATGTTGCGCATTGTATAGTATCAATTTCTACATTATCAACCAACGATATATTCATTCTGCTAATTTGGAAATTGAATATTCTGAAAAATTATGAAATTGTTTTTCGTAGCCATTGTTATATATTGAAACAATTAGTTTCATGAAAACATCTTTAGATAATATTAATAATAACAACCATAATAATAATAATAATAATAATAATAATAATAATAATAATAATAATAATAATAATAATGATAATGATAATGATAATAATAATAATGATAATAATAATAATGATAATCATCATCATCATCATCATCATCATCATAATCATAATTCATCATAAATGTAATATATATGATAATAACAATAATAATTTATAACGATACGTAACTCAAAGAGAATAGTTAAATCATACTTTTCATAATTCATAATTCATTAAATTACGTATCAAATTTCATCATTGGAATAAAATTATTTATTATCAAATATAGAGTATAAATAAAAAGGAATGCAATTTCTCGGATAAAAATTAAAGCCAATATTTTATTAGCATCTATTACTATGATAAATATAATGAGGTATTATTATACAATATTGAAATGTTATCTGTAAATGAATAAATAATTTGAAAGAATTACAATATCAACAACTAAATACTAGCGTATTCAATACATACTTCACTAAATTATTTTTATTCTATTAAAATAATTAAAATGTCAGTGCATAAATTTGCTTGGTGGTGATTATTATTTTAAAAGAAAAATACGTAATTAATCGAATGCATGATTCTTAAGTGCTAATCTTTTTTTTTTTTTTTTTTTTTTTTTTTTTTTTTTTTTTTTTTTGGGGAGCAAAGTATCGAATGAATAGTAGTATAGAATACATTTAAATTTTACATATTATAACAATATTGTACATGAAATAAAAGTTAATGTATTATCATGCATAAGTGTAGTATACTACAAAATGCAATGTACGTGTAGGTAAAAAGTTTGAAAATTAAATTCGTTTTTATGGATGATTTTATTAGATGTTAGGAAAAATAAAAAAATCTCATATAAATTTGTTATTCATATCATGAAAATGTTTATTCATTATTAACTCGTCACATCGCTCGCTTTCTATAGGATTAACGTTCTTAACCGACAAGTACATAATAATAATTATAAACATTATCTCGATATCCTGTACTAGGAAATTTTAACATCTCTACGGAATATCCTGAGCACTTTGAGAACAAAGTTACTAAGTTTATAAGCGCTATTACTCTTTTTAGTATATATGAAAAAAATTTTCTTATTATATTTTATCGTAACTTCGCATTGTATTAATATTTTCTATTAGTAAGTTAATAACTGATTATAATTCGATTAAAAAATTCACCTTATGAGCTATTTTTATTTAAATGAAGACTCCATTTATTTAAATTCCAAATATGTAAATGCATTAGAAACTAAGTTTGTTTCCTTTTCTTTAATCTACTTTCGCTGTTTTGCAAAACTGTCAATTTTGCAGAATATTTTTTTTTTACAATTATATGGTTCACTAAGATTTGTATATTAAGTATAATGACAAAAAATTACTTAATTTACTATTTTGCATTTAAATATAGTGACGTATTTATTGCAATTATTCTTTTAGTCCGTGAAACTTATGCAAATAAGTAGTTTCATAGACGAGACTAAATAAATGGTGTTTTTATATTTAATGAGAATGTAAAAATTATTCTGTATTTATTATAATTTAATTATAATATATTAAATTAATGATTTTCCTTGAGATAATTGAGAGTTCTATCTGGATATACAATTAATGAATAAAGAGTTCTTATTTTTCAACCATTCTCACAAAGTATAAAAAAAAAAAAATATATTAATTATAAGATTATTTCAATTCACCATCTTATATCAATTTTTAATCGATTTTTAATCCGAAGTGCAGATTTCAAAATATCTTTCTAAAAATCTTTAATAAATTCGTTTTATTCTTAAAAGCTAATAATGAATAATGAATATAATGAATATAATGAATATAATAAGCTATAAAGTAATTTTTTGAAATAGAAAAATAATTATTTTTATAACGAAGCTCTGTTGGTAAAGTAGTACTCTCGCAATTTATAATTTTGACTTATATGACTAATGCGATCGATTGAAGGAACAAAGTCGCTACAATTTTTCGATTTAATATGTTTTTAATTTCTAAGCATATTTTATTCGTAAATCGCTCGAAAAAAATATCACTAAAAGCTTAAATTCGTTTTAATTGCTCTTTAATATTCAATTTAATAAATATGGCAATTTTGTTTTCAGCACATACCGATAGTTCTTTCAGCAACGTATATAAATTTTTTTTTTTTTTTTTTTTTTTTTGTTTTTTGTTTTTTGTTTATTCATAACACGAGTAAATTCTTTAATATTTTAGAATAACTTTGTTCCTTTTATACTTGTGGGTTTCGTTTTATTAAGTATACAGTTCTCTAAGAATGCTGCTGCTATATCCCACACTGCATTCGGAATTGTTTATTGCTAATTTTATACGTATAAAATCATTATTCCGATTAATTTACGTTGTGTTAAATGTTAGAAAACAATAGGTTAACAATTTTCTTGTATGTTAATTTGTTTTCATTTACTCTGAAACGAAACTTCTCCGAAAATATTATTTGGATTAACGAAGAGCTTTGTAAATGTACAAAAGTATCGGAGGAGTTGCGCTAGAATTATAAACATTGAAAAATTGTTATTATTTTATCCTTTGGTTTGATCGATAATACCCACAGCATTTACATTCTCCCGATGCTAGGTGTTATTTCCAATAATTAGCAGACTCGCAATCGACATTTGGGCTGTTTCTTTGAAAAACATTCTAAGTCACGAATTGCATTGATCGATCGATTTTAATATTATAGAATATTAAAATGCACTTTTTATATCGATTAATACATTATTTATATTAGTATCTGCCGTCATCGATGTCGGCTGGTTGATTTTCTAACGTGCAGGGCCTGTGGAATTCTTGACCTCTCTCGTGCAGCCATTTGTTCGCAACTGAAAGAGAAAAAAAATGTTCGTTAAGACAATTCTATTTATATTATATATTTCCTTTGTAATAGCATGAATTTATTTTATTAACACTAGGACATTTTATTAACGTTATAGAGATTTACATGACCTTGGTACATTTCATTCCCAACAGTAATAGTTTCTATTAATCTTTCTCGGCAAATTCATCTTAAAACGTAACAAATTAATAATAATTAAAGCAAATAATTTTAAACAAATATTTATATTGTTGATTTACGTAAAATAAACGAAAAAATATTCAAAAAGTGCACTTTGTTGCGTTTCCCGAATTGTTTGAAAACCCCTTTGAAACGTTTATTCTTATCTAATTTTCATTATCACGAATTAATCTAATTAGTTTTAAATACAATGACGTATATTAAAATTCATTTAGCAATCAAATTCCACTATACGAGTAATTTCCTCCAGATTGTTATCTACCAGATAAATCTATCTTTGCTATTAAGTGATTTTTCATTTTTATCATCTTTACCCCATTTCGATCCAGTTAAAACTGGACATGCAGCATGTCGAGTTCGGTAGTCTCCCTCTCCATTGGGTTTCAAATTATACCAAAATGCAGCGCTACCTTTTTTCGGCCATAGAGCGATATTGATTTTTGTGAAAACAGTTCCACCTCCTTGTTCCACGTCACTCATCTAAATCAAATAAAAGAGCATCACTTCATTAGATTTTGTAGTCGAATGCATATTACTGTATTGAAAAAAAATTATTACGACAAAATTAGTAGCATTATCAGTTAGTCAGGTACATTGCATTTCATGCTCCATGTGATTATCCGAATGAATGTTCCTAAATGATCACATGCCGGTGAAAGTTTATGTTAGTAGGTTTGCAAAAATAAAATAATGCAAATGAAAATCTAATAGCTTCATGCTTTATACAATGTTGAGTGTAAATTATTTCAAACATCTAAATTACTTTAATACTATATTTCTATTACAAATTAATATTTATTATATTATTTTTAAAGTATTGAAAACATATAATTTTATGTAATATAAATATAATCACAATGAAATATATATGCGCAAACTAAGTATTAATTATAATAATGATTTTTTCTTTTTTCTCTCTCTCTCTCTCTCTCTCTCTCTCTCTCTGTGTGTGTGTGTGTGTGTACGTGCACAGGTAAGTAATGGTTTGTAGATATGAAAATGATAATGGGAAAGTTTTTGTATTAAATTGTTTTACTTAATATCTCTTTCCTACACTTTCTTTCATTATTCACATGCATTTATGAACAGGCATAAACAATCACACGTATAAATATGTATATTCTTTATATGGATGTATATAAATATTTTAATACGTTTTTTTTTATACATATATAAAGAGTGTTTCGTTAAAATAGGAATATTTTCATGGAAACACTCGTCGTAACATAAAGTATAATAAGCAATGCATCGAATTTCTTTTAGCCAAGGTACTCTTTAACGCTTTTCATTTATTACTTTGACTTAAGAAACCGATTATTCAAAGATATGTATACATAGATATATATGAAGAAAAAAAATGACAGAACGACTAAGTTTAATGTACGTGTAAATTAAATCAAACCTCCTGATATTGGAAACATACTCACTGTTTTTATAAATGTATATAAATTCATAAAAATAAATATACTTACATAATATAAAACAGTTGCGATGCGATTTCCAGTTCCAAGACTTTTAAATGCATTCTTTTCTTCTCTCTGGAAAACGTAATCGAATGATGAAAATAAATTAATAATCCGTTTTGTCGTATTAAAGTTCGATTATTATTGTTTGTATTTTTTTGTAGAAAATTTTTCTATTTGCTTTTTGTAATTATCGCCCAATATAAAAATGTCATTTTTAATTATATAAAAACTGTAGCTTTTATAGTTTTAAATCAAGAACGAGAATGCAAGTATATTATAACAAAATAACATCTATTACGAAATGATAGACTATAATTAAAAAAGGTTATTCACGTCAAAATTTAACTTTCTCTTTTCACGAATATTAATTCTTTAATACTTTTTAACAAAAAATTAAGTATATATATATATATATATATATAGTAGCAATGATATAATTAAAATTTAAATACCTAAATAAATGAAAATTATACTTAAAGCATACGCTTTAGCTATTAAAATGACCAATGTTTGATAAATGGTAAATTCTAAAAATATTTCTCACTTAACATTGATATGAAATTAATTTTTCATTTAAAATTGAACATCTTCCACGAAATTCTTCTCACACGCGTGTCTCCTACAATACTACAAGGCAATGACAATTTCCTGTTACATGTAATGGATTGTTAATAACATTAATGATTCTTTGTATTTATTATAAATATAGTAAATATAAACGTTCGGTTATTATAGATGGTTAGGGTGGATTTGTCTAGTGGAATTTGTGGGTAGAAAATGAATAATAGAGTCCTTACTCTGGCGAAGTCAAAATGGGGCTCGTAATGTCCTCCGATTCCATAATTAACAACTTGGAGCTCCTCAGCCGTATCGATGGTCATACTCGTCATGTGCTCAACCCGTTGGCTCACTGCTCGCACATGCTTGTGCTCGTGTTCCTGTAGCCAAGCGCTTTTGCTTATCCGGTAGTTTGCTATCTCGAGCTCTCCTGTCTTGTAGTTTTGCACCGTCGCTCGCTTGAACTACCAAACAGCAAGTACCAATTCTTTCATTACACGAGCACAGATCTTTTGCGCCAGTTTCCGTTAATTATGCAAGAAATTTTGTCGACCATTTTTTTTTTTTTTTTTTTAATAACATAGAACCCGGTGAATTCCTTGTTTACTTGCTTTCTACATTTATTACAAGTGCCCTATGTTTATATTGTCTACATTACATTACAATCACGTCAATAATATAATTATTCTATTGATCTTATATGCGTATCATTTGTGCGCAATTAAATTTCATAAATAAAAAATTTTTTAACGCGATATAGGGATTAACTAATTACAATAGATAATTGAATTTATTGTTTTTTTATTATATTTAAATTAAAATAATGAAAATTAGAAAGATAACTTTTTATTACAAATTTCATTTTATTTCTAAATTTTGAATTGACATTGTAAAATACCCTTTTACTTTTTAATTAATCTTCAATTATTAATTAATTTTATTAATATCGATTATTAATATTGATTATAAAATACAATTTATTTAATATTGAATATTTTTATTCGGTGCCTGAAGAAAATTACTCGCTCCCCCTCCCCAAATTCGGTTAATTTCTTAAAAAATTTTATTTTTTGTATCTTCATTAAAAACTATTATTACTTCGGTATTTTTTTTTTTTTTTTTTTTTTTTTTTTTTTTTTTTTTTTTTATGATTCTACGATCTATAAAACTTTGCATTTGAATATCAAATATAATTTCAAATAAGCTTCAAATAAACATAATAAATCATTTATCGTTATTATTTTCTACGAAATTCTATGCCAAGAGAAATTCTCCTTTATTATTTTTTTTGTTTTAAACATTTCAAATAAAATTCTTTCTCAAAGCTTTACAAAAAATCATTGAATTATTTATCATTCGAACGATTTTTGTATAAGGTAAGACCCATATAAAAATGGGAAATCCATAATTTTTCAAAGTTCTATATACATAAATTCAAATGTTTTCAGATGTTTAGTTGAAGAAGCATAAAAATTGATGTGACATAATTGATTGGACAAAATCATCGGCATATCGTTATAAAATTATTTTTTAAATAATATTTATTTAACTTTATTCTCAAACTAGATATACTGTAATTCTTTTAAAGTCCAAGTTGTAAAATATTTTATGTATGCAGGTAAGTACACGCCCGCGTGTAAGCAGATTGTAACGTATGTATAGTAAAGACTGCTGTAACATGAGTCATGAACATCGTATGAAGTGAAGCAAATTTAAAATAATTGATCACGTGTCAAGGTACATTTAAAACAAGTTTATTATATATATATATATATATATATATATATATATATTACTTGGTTCACTAGCTATAGTACACAATTTTACAGAGCAGCCGTCATGTTACATTCTAAATACTGTACTTGTCGTTTCTTTATAATGACCAACAACACACAATTCTAATACATTGATCTAATAAAATTTTATATTATAATGATACCGAAGTTAGGAGAATCCATTTGAAAAGCACAAAACGTAATGAATTTAGGATTAGAAGAAGATGAATGGAGGTAAAATTTGCGCATTTGTTTTGATATAACTAAAAAGACGTTATTTATATGTAGGATATTTTTTGAAAGAAATTAAATTTTCTTACTTATAGAATTTTGCTTAAAAATTCTACTTACCGCGACGTTGTCTCACATTGAATAAGCGATAAAATCAGTATTGGCACATGATATAATTACTCGAACAATTTCAATCTACGATTTGCATTATTTAATTGTTCGATAAAAGTATGAAGTTGCATTTGGCCGTAAAATAAGTCATTATTCTTGTCCATCAGCAGACACAAGCTTAAGAGCATTATCCGAGCTCAAGTAATTCTATTCGTTAAATACTATTAACCATACAATTACGAATGAAAATGTAAAAAATGTAAAAAATGTAAAAAGGTCGGATGTCGTTTGTAAAAGTACAGAGGCGCGTGCCTATCCGCGATGCTATCATTCTTATTCGTGCGTTCGTGATAAAACAATGGCATTACGTTTATCGGAAATAAGCTGCTCATGGAGAAACATAAATAAGGTAAATTTAATGGCAAATAGCATCTGCTGAAACGACGCGTCGTAAATCTGTCCCCTCGAGCCTCCCGTTCGGAATGCGGCAGAAGCCATCCTCGATGAAACGAATGGAAGATTTAGGGTGCTCGATCGCTTACCCTCGGCTGAGCCATCCTCTTGATCGTCTCGATCTCCTCGTCGTAGATGACATCGTGGTAGATGACGATCCTCGGATCGAGGTAGGCCTCCTCCTCCTTGAAGGGCGCTATCTTGAGGAAGGGTATGCCCCGGTCGACGTAACGGCACCTCAGATCCTTTTGCAGACTCAGAGGCATCGTGATCTCACCCCGACACAGCATCTTGTACCTCTCTCGCTCCGTCATCTCGTTCAGGCTCTTGATCTTCTTCTCCGGGACGGTGAAAGGCTGCGTGGCATATCAAAATCTTTCTTTATACGACCTTCGTTCTTTTTTTCATTCTTTCTTTCTTTCTTTTTTGCGAAGGCGAGCTGATTTTGGATCGCTTTCTACGCGCATTTAGTACTTGGGATTTAAATAAATGTTAGCTAAACTAGGAAAAGTTCAAGAGGAGCCGAGGTGGAGACTATTAACTCGCTACTTCTCCATTCGTAATTGTCTCAAGTATTTCCGAGTCAAGGCCATAAGCTACGCTTTATATCATTTTTACTGGAGGCTGTTAAATCGTTATTTAATCTCAAAATAGGCGATTGAGAAAAATACAAGCAAATTATTCCAGCGGATTTCAGATTTTATCTCATGAATCTACAATCTCGAGCAATACTGGTATAACATTATGCTGGTGTAACATAATAATGTCGTCTCGCTACGCTTTGATAAATAGTTGAAATTTTTTCTTTTCATTTATATAACAAGCCCTTAATAAGGAACGATCATAGATTATTTGTTAGTCGAGTGGATGGTGAAACAAGGAGATTTCATTGAATATATTAAATAAATATAAATATGAATATAATGATAATTATAAAGATAAAGATAAATATGACCAATTCATAAATGCTTCTGGTGGAAGATGTAATGATAATAAGCTTATTTTATTGCCTCTGCGGCAATGTTTCGTCATGCTTATAACAATTTTTTAATTATTTAAATGGAGCGTTTTATTGAAATTTTTAAAAATCCATTAGGGCACGTGCATTAAGGAAATAGCTAAAATTAGTAATTCTTACATATTAATTTTTTATCACAATTTTCAAATACTTTCCTTAAAAGCACACAAGGCATGGCATAATTTTGCCCCGATATTCTTGAAAATATCTTTAACGACATTTTAAAAATAAATACTTTTGATATACCAATGCTTTTATCAAAGCACTTTGCAATAATTTACCCGAAACTAGCATCGCAATGACTTCATTATATATAAAAGAGTGAATGCGTATTTGTTTATTTAAATCTTATATCATCAGTTTCATTAGAATTCATATTTATAAAATTAGGAGCACTGCATATCGCAAATATTTCGTTTTCATTACAAAATAAAGTGCCCCTATACAATATATTTTAAGTGCTACGTTCGAATTTTAGTAACTATTCTCGCATTATTCCTTGTTTAACATTTTCTGCTTTAATATTTTAAAATCTTTTTTTGAAAATCATGATTAAATCGAATTTATAAACTCGACACACGCGGTAAACCGCGTCGAGATCTATGAACTTTTAAAAACAATATTGCAATCCGGCATAAGCGAGTTTACTTTGAGGACATTTTTAACTCGCGGGTTTCCTTTATAAAGAATCAACTTACCTGATCAGCCGCGGGCGTGTCTTTGGTGCCATCCTCTCCTCGCTTTCTCCTCGACTCGTTCGTCCTCTTCTGAATTTCCTCCTGGTAGTAAGCACGATTGCCAAGCGCCCGCTGATGTGTCGGCACCAGCTCTAAAAGCTCGTTCGTCATGCTCAAAGCTCTCACTACGTTTCCTGCAACCATTGATTTTACATTTTTATTTAATAACTCGTGAATTATTTTTCTTTTATCGATTAGCCGATTTTCTCAATGCCGCTTTAACTCGGTTAAATTTCGTAAGATTATTATTCTTGCAATTTCACTTGGAGAGCTTTTACTTCAACTCTATTTTTTCAAATGTAATCGCTCTTTCAAAATATAAATGTTTCCTTAAACGGCAGAATTTTTAAGCTAATTATTTCAAAAATAAGAATCATCCAAATCATGTATTACTATTATCTTACATATTTACTTGATCACGCTATCATTGGATTTTAAATAGTTTATATTTTCTTTATTTATTCACATAATGGATTTAAATCATTCATTTTGTTGTATTCAAGCGTTACTCCCTATATTCCATTGGATATATATTCTATTCCTACAATGACAATGTAAAGCCGTTAATTATATAATATCTTTAATTTTGATGGGTATATCGACATTACTTTATAGCAAAAACTATTATTATTACGCATTTTAATGGATAAGAATTCATCAAGACATAATTTCGGTTCATTTAAATCCAAAGTAGTGTTTAAACAGTTTTTTTTTTGTTTGTTTGTTTTTTTTTTTTATTATCCATGCTCTCCTTCTACAGACACCCTGCTCTCTCTCTCTCTCTCTCTCTCTCTCTCTCTCTGTGTGACACACAAGTATGGTCGCCCGGATACAAGCATTTAAACATGTAAGATATTTCAAAAGCCAAGTATTAAAATTCCAGAAAAAAATATATATCAAGATTTCTGAATTTTTGCATATTGCAAAAATTTTGTTCCTCCTCAATTTGCTCTTGCAAATCCTTTTCGAAAATCCATTAGGGCATCGTTTATTTTTTTTCTAGTAAATCATAACACAAAGTCCAGCGCAATTATTTTATAGTTTAAAAAGTTTCGTGCCTCTGCGCGCAAAGCCTCCCACCCCCACAGTCCAAAAAAATATGTCCGGAAGTCCAAACACGTACATCAGATCCGGCTTGATAAAATTGCGGCCCATCGTCGGGTGACCGCACGGATCTCCGTTCGCTCCCACAAAGCCGCTCCCTAATTAAATAAAGATGATTGAGATAACTGCGACGCGCTCGTCGGGGAACTCGAAAAGCGCCGGCGCATACGGGAAACAAGTTTTACGCGCCGCCCTTACCATTAGTATTTCTCTTTTCGTCTCGTTCCCTTTCATTCCGTCTGTCTCTCATTCCGACCGCTGCTTCTTTCCGCTGACGGCAAATTACAATCGTAGCAAAATACCCGATTCCTCGGTTGAAAAAAAAAATCACGATTAGAAATACGACCGATGGCTAATGGTGGGAGGTTGGGCGATAGATTGGGTATGTGGGTGTTGGCAGCCAGAAGAGAAAAAAGTGACGGGCATTGACGTACGTAGGCTGAATAGCGAATTAATTTTCCGTAAATAAGCGCTTCGGCTCTCGGACGCAGCCATCTGTAATTCGACGAATGTATTTAAACGAGCGCTGCTGCGATCTCCCTTGCAAAATTCACGTTACTGCCGTATACCTGCGTGGTATATTCCTTTATTTTTTTATCGGCGGCACGATCGAGGGTGAAATACTAAAATAATTACAACGAAGTGAGCCCACATAAATCGCGCTTCATTTAAAAGCTCGTATTTTTAAGGATTGCAACACGAGCGAGAAAATGAGCGAGTGAAAGGGTTGAAGGTCGCGTAGAGGGGAGATATTATTGTGGAAAACCGAGGATACAAATATGAGATTCCAAGTGTTGGATAAATGCTTTGTACTATCGATTAAGGCACGTCCAAGCGAATAAAATGTTTCCTCCTCCTTGCCTAATCACTATGTCGCAAAATTTATTACAATAAAAGAATACTGATAAGCACGCATAGGTTATTTCATTTCATATTTACAGCGTTTTAATTCTCTCACAGTTAATAATTTTTAATTTTCAAATAGACGAGAGAGTGTTTAGACTGTGTAATAGTATTTACTTCTGGTGCACAAATAGTCAATTGCGACAATATTTATCTTTGTTAAATGTAATAATACGAGGAATGACGAAGATAAAATAAAAATTGGAATTACAAAAGTTTAGTAGGCATAAAAATTTTTATTCTATATTTACAAAATCTTATAATATTTTTCTATTTAATTTGGAATAATTTTTTCATGTTTTTTTTTTTTTTTTTTTTTTTTTTTTTTTTTGTAAATAGTCAACTATGTAAGTTTAGTTTACATTTTGCTTAATTATTACCAATTACAAAATATCAGTTCATTCATATATGTTACGTATTTCAGTATCATAAATTACTTTACTAATCTTAAAGTTGAAATAAAAATAAAGGCTTAAATAATAAAAAAATTAATAAAATATATTAATATTTTTATAATTTATATTTATTTTATATTTATTTTAATTATAATATTAATATAATTATATAATTAAATATAATTCTTTTTTTATTCTTGCTGTTTTTTACATTTCGTTATTATCATTTTAAGTATTATGTAAGCTGTAATATAATGATAAGAATTGTCAATACGATGACAATGAAGTTGATATCAATTGAAATGAAAATATCACTTATTTATTGTGAAAAGTGTATACTGCAGGTATAAATGAATGATTATTACTTTAAACAAATTTCCTACATTGGGCTATAATATTGTTAACAATATAAATTGAAACCTATCGAATTTCTTTGTTAATATAAATAAATTATTGCCAAATGATTAATTGTCGTAATAATAATAATAATAATAATGATAATAATATTAATAGTAATGATAATGATAAGAGCAATAATAATAATAATAATAATAATAATAATAATAATAATAATAATTGTAAATTGTAAATTGTAAAATGTAATAATTTGTAAATTTAAAAGTGTTATGTATGGTAATAGATATTGATAAGCGAACGAGTGACTTATACTTAATATATTGTAATTTTATAAGAAAAGACAATCGTAGCTAGAGATCTGGGATTAGGCGACGAGAAACAAGTATGAAATATTTTATATCAATCGAGACATTCATTATAATGTAAATAGAATGTGCAAGAAAGGGGAATAATTCTATTTAGTAAGTGATATCAAAGTACATTCCGCCGTTAATAGGTGAGTTCATGAATTATGAGTGCGTCGGGGAATGGAGAAAGCCTGGAACAACTAATTATAAAGGTAAAAAGAAAAGTGGACGTAAACAGGAAAGCAGTGGTGAGTTGAAGGTAAAGGGGCGAGCCAAAGCGGCAAGTTAGAGAAAAAAGTAGAGTTTGGTTGGTCTTGGGTTGGCGGGTGCTGGGGCTTGGAAGCTCGGTGTTGGCGCTTGGGGGCCGAAGACGAGTCGTCGCGCAGCTGCTATCGTCGCTCTCAACTCTTAATAATTTAGCGCTGCTCAATTCGCAATGCCGCGTCCGTACTCTCCGCATCTTCGCTCCGGGCTTTTGTCGTCCTGGGGCTCGGTCTCACGTATGCGCGGAGCCCCCATAAAGCAGAACTCGGGCCGCAAGATGCCGCGGTTAAATTTTTCATCCCCCGTCGTCGTCGTCGTCTCGTCAATTATGAAACCGGCCGGACTTCCACGTGGCGTGACGCGATTTTACTATCGCGAAAAGCCGCCTACATTATTTCAACGTCCTTAAACTGCAATGTTTTATCGCGGCTCCGCGCAGTTACGAGGCACTCGACGAACCTCGAGCGACTGCGTCGATTGGTCCATTTTAATCGAGCCCCTATCCCCCTATGGGCTCGCACCTACGACGACTCTCCTGCAGATCGATTAAAAATTTAAGTGACAATGTCGAGGATACGCGTTTAATATCACGCTCCGTGTTAATTGCGTATATTCACAATGTCTGACTAACTTCACATCGAGCCTTTAGCCTTACGGGCCAATGCAAGAAAATAGAGGGCCGCTTTTCTTTTCCTTTCTTGCTACTTCAACTCATTAATGAGGGGAATGTAAATTTTTATCTTCTAAAGGAAATTTATCCTTTAAATTTTTGTTTAATATATTTTTAATTGAATTTTAATAATAAATGTTTGCTAAAACTTATTAGTCAGGTTTCGCTCGCATGTACGTTAAGGGCAGTAGATTAAAAATGTATAAAATTGTAGGTAGAGAGCCATCGTAATAGCAACCGACAAGGATGATATTTCTTTATAAAAGGATCGGCCGCGAATATAGCGTATGAGATTTTTTTGTCGTGTTATTCTCAAGTTCGGACTAAGATTTGCGTGCCCATAATATGACATGCACATTAAAAATCTTATTTTGTCGTTGAAGAGCAACTGTTTATTATTATTTTAAGATACTAATCAATTGCTTTAAAAATCTTTCTAGATTATTATTAATTAACAATATATTATTCCTTAATTTTTATTAGAGGGATGGTTAGTATTATTATTATTATTATTATTATTATTATTATTATTATTATTATTATTATTATTATTATTATTATTGAAATCAATATATTACTATAAATATTGAATAAATATTGAAAATATTCATTTCTCTTGAGATTTTAATGCTTATTTTCAGTAAATTTTAAATACTTGGGATATAAGTATTATATATAAGATCAATTTTTCTGAAATAAATAATTTTTACCATAGAAAAATGCTCGTTTAAGGATTTTAAAATTACTCTTAAAGGCATATTAAAAATTATCCTATAATTATCATTGTAATTATCGTGATCAAATACAGAAGTAAGTTATTCTAATGCTGATTTAAGCCGGAAAAGCAATTCGTAAGAATAACATCTCATTTAATTATCGAAGCTTAATTAGATTTTTCTGCCAAAGGTTTAGATAAGTCGGTTAGTTCTATTTCCTCCTATTTCACCTCTCGTCGCTAATTGTTCTACCGTTAGTCCATCTGTTGTCTCTTTGTCTTTTCTTTCCTATACACCTCTACGTATACCACCTATGTAATTACATTTTCCTTGCTTTTTCTATCTTCATCGCTCTCATTACTTTTCACCTTATAATTATATACTATTCTATTTTTTATTTTACAGCTTTTACATCTTATCCGTATAAAGCACTCACCTTTCTTTACTACTTTATTCTCTCTTATATTTCTTTACTATTATACAATATTCAACACCGTTCTTTTTTTTTTTTTTTTTTTATATCTTATGTTAATACCTCTAAAACATTTAAGTCAAACATTTACACATTTCTTGTGCAGTATCTTACACTCAGTAGTACACAAAGCCTCTATATATTTCATTCCATTGCCGATCTCTTCTCTTATCCTAACTCGTTCAAGATAATTTCACCATAAAATTCGGTTTTCCGTACGCTTTTCCTATTCCGTTCATAATCAATTTTTTATATACTAGAATATATCTTAATTAAACGAATAATATATTATTTATAAATAATTCGATTGCTTGTACATAACATTTCTATCTTTAAAATAAATTGGTAAATGAATCTTCATTGCTACAGATTAATCAATTTTACTTAGATATAATTGAATATATTACAATATTTAGATCTTTCATATGAAGTTACATTACTTTTCTCCCACTAGGTTACTTAAAAAAAAATACAAGAACATATTTTTCATATTTTTATTGAAGAAATATTTTAATATTTTAATTGTACCTATGATAATTTATTGGTAAAAGTATTTTATTTATGATTTTCATTTTATAAACGTAAAAGTAATGGTTTTATTTTTAAAGTAGAATTTATCCTTTTGTAAATAATCAAATTATTCTTCAACGCTGTCTTTTTAGATAAAATTTCTTCATAAGAGCATCTGCTATATCAACGAATCTATCACTTTTCTTCCTATCGGATAAATCTATGTGTTATAATTTATAAATAAATGTTAATAATTATAAAGCTTAACTTTATCAATGAATAGAATAAAATCGTCATACAATGAAAACTATATTTTAAAAGAAAAGAGAAGAAGGGCAAATATTAAATAAAGATAGAAAATAGTTCTAAGAATATTCGCATTTTATAAAATTTATGATAGATAATGCATTGATGGCTTTGATTCATAAGTACAAGAATACATTGATTTTCAATAGCTATGGAAGCGCAACAGCTGAAATATTGATTTCTAGTTATTAATATACAGAACTTTATAATGTGGTTACAATAACTTTATTTCTATAGAATAAAATTAATCAACATATGCACATCCAACTTAATATATGAACAACTAAAGACATAATTATGAATAAACGTATAAAATTTTATATCTTATCTTGATAGTATTTTGTAATTCCTATTTTAACGCAATTACATATATTGATTGACTGGCTGGCGGCATGTTTAAGTTATTTCATGACTCTGCTACTTTATACTTCGATTGGTATATTGTTAACTTAATATAAATCTCATTAGCTAAGGTAAGTCTAAATTGCAATAGTTTTCACTCATTATCTAATATATTCACAAATAATAAAGAAAGATTATTTTTCTAAGAAATGTTTGTATTTTTTATGACCGTCTCCTTCGAATGTGAATAAACTCGAAAAAGAAATGAAATTCACAGTAAAATAGTGATTTCAGAATAGCCGTCATGTAATCTGTATCGCCATCATAGAATCGACGTCCCTTAAATTCTATAAAGTCCTGTGTTAAAAACTCAAAATGATATACTGAATATATTTAATACATTTCAAACTACAAAAATTTCTTAGAAAAATAATCTTTTTTTATTATTTGTGTATATATTAGATTATTATAAGTATTACATTGCTATAATTGTTAAATGTAAATTATAAAATTGTATGAAAATAGGTAAGACACATTCGAATAATTTTAGATAAAAATAATCGAAGGAAAAATTATGAAATTGAAATTTATTGATATTTAAAAAATTAGTATTTTATACTTCCTGAAATACTTCTTCTCATTTACACTATTCAAATTATGGATACGAAAAGCTTGACAAATTAAACTAACTTTTTAAGTTAATTTGATAAAGAGATAACCCGCCATTCTAATTGGAGCTGTGATAGTCATCGACAGTGCAACTGGTTGCAAGTTTTTCTAGCAAAAGACAAGTTGTTAGGTGAAGCACTTTTTGTCTTTATTGATTATTTTTAGGAAAATTTTGCTAATGTATTCAATTGTCCTTGTATAAAGCATTTCCTAAAACTGTGATTAACACATTTTATTAAATAGAGGTTCATTTATTATTGATTTTTAACAACAATTAAATATTTTATTTATTTGGGATGTGAAAATATTAAACTTTTTTTTTTTTTTTTTTGCTTAAATTTATAATCTGCAAATATTATTACACATCTTTTCAATATTCTAAAAATTGTATTTTTAAATATAATTTCATTGCCAATTGTATTCAATTATATTGAAATAATTCATCGTGTATCACATGTCTTTAAATATTATATATTAATTTAACCGAAGTTCGGCCCAATTCATTTTTCTATTGCTATTTTCTTAAAGCTTATAACAAGGATAAAATAAAAAATTGACAAATATCGAGGCACGTGGTGAGCATAGTACGATTAAGTGATAATTTTGTTCTTTTAAATTTACTGGTATGATCGACCTAAAATTATCAAACTTGAAACGACGATTATGCCATAAATAACATAATAAATGCTTTTAAGTTTCAAAATATTGACACCGTGGCAATACAAGTCGTGAAAATAAAAAAGTACGGATGAAATTATTATAATTAGCGCAAACATTTAGAGAAAAAATATTGTATAACATGTTACTACAAAAAAGTATAAATATGAATGTGAATTTACGACTTTCCGTAATTTATCAATCATAATTCCATTTCACTTCATAAACTTATATTTCCCCTTAAACCACATAATTTACAATACATATAAAAATATGAACAAGCGTATATTGAAACACGTATCCTCACTTTTCGCAGTTATTTTCTATTAGACAGACAAAACAAAGATATTGCATTCACATTTTATGATATATAACCGACAACGTCGATATACAAAATAAATAGCATAAATCGTATCCTTATAAAGCCAGTAAGATATAATTATTACTAATATTAATATTAATGTATATTCTTATATCTGAATTAAGAAATTTATATATTTTGATTTTTTATTAATTTTTTTATTGGCCGTGAAAATGATGTAAACTATAGCATAATATACTTATATACACTTATAATATACTTACATCAAATATTATATATATATATATATATATATATATATATATATACAAATTTCTATATTTACGATGCAATAAGATGTATCGATAGAATTTTTCATAACTATTAAAAAAACAAGCCAGTCCATCACATTATAAGAATGGATATGGAAAAATTGTAAAATAATTGGTAAAAGAAAAATACGATCAAGGCTTTCTTTCTCGTTTTGCATTCTTTTCAGTTTTGCAATTACAAAGTAGTTGTAATTTAAATATTCAAAGCTATTTATATATAACAATTATCTAGATTGTACGTAAGACTTAACACGCGACGTTAACGAAACTCAAATGCTTTATAGATATTTTATGTAGAAGCTGTTTCACAAAGTTACAAGGAGGTTTAATCTCTCGCTATTTTGAATTTTACGCCCGGAGACTATTTTCGTTAAAGCGAAGTCCGCGTGAAAACGAGTGAACCTTTAAAAGAAGTCATTAGAAAGTTGGCGTAATGACTAGCGCATTACGCGCGTATGAGCCATTCGTGCGCATTACGTGGGCGAACCTTCACGTCGCGATCCTCGTTGACGCGCGGCCACGCGATTATAGAGTCCTAGCCGGCATCCCCGGTCGTTCTCAATTACCCTTGTCGTGCACGATTACCTTGCATATAAGTGGAGAAGGCGAGGTACTCGAGAATATCAGGCTTGGATATGGTGGTACGATTTTGCTCCTCTTGTAGCCGGTCCATGGCCTCCTGCATCCAGAGCACAGTGTGATAATAGTCGCCGTTGTTATAGGACTGCCTGCCGAGCTCGAAGCAGTCGCCGGCTGAAAATGAAAAGCAATCCTCGCTTTAGAGGTCGGCACAATGGCAGCTCTTATTGCTGTTATTATTATGGGGAAGAACAGGTCAGGCGTTATATTTCTATATTTTCACCGGTTATCGTAAATCAACGACAAGCGCTTTCTCGATGCGAATGAATTCGCCAGTCGCTTTCCCTTGCGATTCCGAAGAGTCGTATGCAGAATGGGATATTTTCATGATCGTACTTGCTTACAAAAGTGCAATTTGTGGAGGATTTGAGAATACGCGGTATTTTCAAAGTGTTTGATTGCAAAAAATTTGTAGCAAATTTTCAAAGACGCATCAAAGAAATACTACGCAATAATAACGTAATACGACCGGTTTAATATCTTGAATAAGTGAGCATTAAACACGTCACAATATTAGATTACTTATATGATTATTTGCAAGAATTTTCTACTACATTAGTCATTAATAACAATCGTTATAATTAAATAAGACACAAAATTATGTCGATGATTTTATTAAATGACATTAAAAATGATAAGATTTGGATATGTAAAAATATGGATTTGTATAAAAGTTTGAACCGAATTTCCGATAATAACAAGTGATGTACATTAAATGCTATATTAACAATTTTTTTTTTTCATTACTTGAATTTCAATATGGGCTGTTAGTTATGGAACTTCTGCCGATTTAATAATTAAACAAACGATCGATCGTATAAACATTTTTTTAATTCATAACTCAGTGCTCTTGATTTTGCAGAATATGTCCTCCGCCGCCGCCCCCCCCCTCCCTACGCACACACGCATACATATATAATGTAACAGTGTTAAAGTTCTTTGTAATAAATAGAATTATTCACGTGTTGCATTCTTTTATATAAAACTAATATTTTTATTTTATTTATTCTTTTATTTTATTTAGTTTTTGTATCCATCGCTTAAATCAATCTCCTAAAATTTCATTAAAACAACGTGATTATTAGTGCAAGAATATTTTTAAAATTGTGCTTCAAATTTTTTTTTTTTTTTATTTTTTATTTTTTATATTTAGACAATATTTGTCATTCCGTTTCGAAATAAAAAAAAAATCACGAGCATACTCTTTTCTTTTCTTTTCTTCGTGAAATCGATATATTTTTTATTTAAAAGACCAAGTATTTGCAGTATATTTGTAAATATAATAGAATAAATTTTAAACATGAATTATTTCAATTAATAAAACATAATAGGGACGTATGCATTTTTCAATACCGATTATTTACATTTATACAACATACTATATTAATGTAGATGTTGAACTTTAAACAGAAGAAAACTTGAATAATCTCGAATTTAATTTCATTAAATTCAGTTAAAAAAGAATTTTGTTAACGGAATTTTAAAGAAAGATTAAGTGAAGACGGATTTCAAAATCAACACACGCACGCACATATATATTTACAAAATTGTTTTTTTAATAAACATTGTGCATTTTTTGTTTTTCAAATTATCAAAAAATTTAGAATTGTAAGTTTCTTCTTTTTCATTGACGTAGTTAATAAAATTAAGAAAAATTAGGAAATTAATTGTAATAATTTTTTTTTCATATTTACATACAAATAAAGAAAAATTTCTATATATGTAATTTATTTTATATTATACGATGTACAATAAGAATTGGCAATACTAATCGATATATTACAAAATATAAAGCACTGCTTTATAATATTCAAAATTAATATATGAGTTTTTTAATATCAAGATGATATTGCAAGATTATTAGTATTTAAGGCTTATTATTATAATTTATAATATTTCATCACAATTCATTATATGATAATTTTGTTCAGATAATGTACATTTCATCGGACTTAATTCATTTGAAGATTAGTTTATTTTAAAAATTTTCTACATTATACTCCAAAGCTTTAATAAATTTCATAGCAAAGATTAAAATTCTAAATAGTTATTATATGCGTAATAAAAGCAAAATTGCTATATGCTAATATTTACAACACACTTTGCACTTTTAATGAAAAAATTTATTACGAGGTTCAAATATTTTAACCATTAAAAATCTTGTTCTTCTGTAAAATTTTGTGTTTTATAAATATAAGCGAATAGAGGATTCATTTTTTTTTTTTTTATGGAAGATTAAATACAGTTGCAAATGAAAATTTCTTCCAGTACTAAGTACTTCCAGTGAAATTAATTTATTAAAAACTTTTTGCATTTTTCAAATATGCGTAAAAGAATTAATGTAAAATATACTTTTTTTTTTAGAATATGCAGACAATTGTTTATATGATTGTAAGACCTTATTCTATTTTACACATTATATTCTCTTTGCTCTTGTTCTAAATGTTTTAATCAACATCGATTCGATCTGTTAAGCGAAGAGTTTTGAACAATTTTCGGGCAAGGGGTAACAATGATATTTGCTCAAACTGGACATCGGAATCTCAGTTGGCTGATGAAAAATACAAGATTGAAGTCCACATTTGCAATAAAATATCAAACTATATAATTATGCCATAAAAATTCAATGTGATACGCGGGCTATAAATCCGGAGCGATACTTCATAGAATTAATATAGCTAGAGTTTGACAAGTATTGCGATGATTTTTTCAAGGATAAAGTACGTATGTATTATTATGATGGAAAAATATTTCAATAATAGTTTAAAAATCTCCGGCTCGGTTACTCATTATTTTCTGTTTTTCATTAGTAATATTTTCATTAGATGAACATAATGAATTTATAAAACTGTGATTTCATAAAACAGTGCAATATCTAACGCCGTTTAAATTTCCATTAAGATTCATAATAATGTTACATGCGGTTTATTTATCGTTAATGTTTAATTCATTAAAATAAGGTAATTAGTATATTTACATATAAATGATAGAATTAGGATTTTCGTTTTGTTTTTGGTTAAATCGATCCTTAATATTTTGTTAAGAGCTAACAATTTCAAGTCTTATTTATTTAAGAGAATTAAAACCCAGTAATGTCGTGTTTGCGAATTGAGTAGACTTGAATAATATATACAGGCAAATTAAAAAATACTTTGATGAATTTTAATACGAATAGTAATTATGAGTTTCGCGCAGAATTCTTAATTGTGCTGTAAAGAGTTGAGAGTGAAATATGCGATTTATTAATGTCAAATTGAAATTTTAGTTTGTTATTTAAATATATCAATTTTCTTTATTGTTTTATTCATCTCATTTTCTAAATTAATTGGTTTATACCAACGCTAATTTACCATTCTGTTAAAATTAATAAAATTATTACGTGATAAAAATGATGTATATTGTGAAAAAGTTGGTCGGCAAAATTTTATAGAAATATAAATAAAATTTCAGTAGCTCGTGAATCAAGAATTTTTTAAAGAATGGGGGGCGCAAATACAGTGAATTGAATATTTCCAATGTCGACCAATAAAGGCTGTGATAAAAAAATAGAAGTAGACGTTTAATAAAATCGATATAGCTTTTATTGGATTGCCAAAAGAATAAAAAAATCTTATTTAATTTTTGTTTTACATTAATCAGGCATAATGTGTTTGCCTGACAACCATCCATTTTCGATAATCGAACTATGTAATAATAAACTATTCTCTCCTCTTTCCTATTATTTATTAAGTTTGATATAAATAAGAAAAATGCGCGATCGAGACGTAGAGGATTGATTAATCCTCTCTGTTGCAGCAACGTCAATGTAATTATAGTTAGTTATTTGAGTTTCGGTAGCCCCATTAGCGACTTATATTTTTATAATTGGAAAAATTTAAGTAGTTAAAATGGAAGGGAAGAGAAGACTGTTTTCGTGAGCCGCGGTATTAAGTTTTGCTTTCTCGTGCCCTCGATAGGCTAGTAATAATTAAAAATCTTAGGATTGGAAATATGAGACACGGGAAAAGAAATTGCAGAGAGTCGGAGAGGGGGGCGCGGGTATTTTCCTCTGGCTTATCAAGCGCTCGGGAAGAAAATGCGAGGTAATCGAGTAATGGACGGGATGGGATTTCAAGGAGTACGGAAAGGAGATTAGACAGCAATACAAATATGCGGACTCGACACACTCACCCGATAACCCGGTGCTGTACTGCACACCGTTGAGGACGCCTCTGGCAACCTGAGCCGTCTCGAGCTTGTAAGTATCCTGTAGCCTCATTAGTGCGACGGCGGCACCATTGAGGTCTTCCTCGGTCGGGAATTTTAGGTCGCTACGAGAATTCGTGATATTGGCAACGAAGGCCTTGCCGACGTCCTCGGTAATTAATTCCTCGACCCGCCTCCAGTCGGTCGTCAGTCGCTTCACCAGCAGATAAGCGTTTATCGGATTCGACAGGTACTGCTGGATGTTGCGCGAGGCTTCCTCGTGCTCGCGCGCATAATCCTCCACGTTTCTGTGAACAGTTAAGACATATAGTTTCTCTCTCTCTCTCTCTCTCTCTCTCTCTCTCTCTCTCTCTCTCTCTCTATTTGCATATCATAATATTTAAACTATAAGGTAATAACCAATGGATAATAACAACAATGCGCGCGCTGTAAGCCTTATACGGCTTTATGTGTTGAAGGTGCGCGCGTGCATGTGTCTGAGGGTAGGAGGGTTGTGTCTCCGATTTAGCGACTTTGACAAACTATCCTTACGGATGAATGTGTCTTAGCTAAGCCCAAAATATCTCCGAGAGAGCGCATCGATGCGCCCGGACGTACGTATGTATGTGTGTTTGCGTGGAATCTGAGCGCCTACTAGTATACGCTGTCGTATATGCATAGGGATAGGAGATGCGGCTTTTGCCTCGCTATGTATTTCTATAGTTTAGTCGAGGGCAACGTGTTTCATCATTTTGCAATCAATTAATTTAGGATATACTGATATGATATGCAGCGAGGGTATGCAGACTCAAAGACCGTCGTAAATCATTAAGAAAAAGCATGTTCTATTTGTTATTTACTTGCGACTGCATTATCTGGCTTATTTAGACAAATTAAAAGTAAAAGACGAATACAAAGTAAAATTATAATTTTCTTCCAATATAATGAATTAAGCGGCACCTTCGACCTTCATAATAACATTTCTCTAAAGAATGGTCTGCAATTATTCTTCATACAGTTATGCAATGGCGAACATAAAGCTTAGAAAAGTGCGGGAAAAGAGGTGGAAAAGAGGTGGAAAAGAGGTGGAAAAGAGGTGGAAAAGAGGTGGAAAAGAGGTGGAAAAGAGGTGGAAAAGAGGTTGGAAAAGAGAAAGAGGTGGAAAAGAGGTGGAAAAGAGGTGGAAAAGAGCTGGCTCATAGAGCCTTCGTCATAAATAAACGATCATATTTCTTTCAGTTCTCTAAAATTGTATTATTATTTAATTCTTTTGTTAGATATAAATCATCTAAAAACTGACTCTATTTCCATTTATTATATTTATATGTTTTAAATAAACTGTACAAATTTTTTTTAAGAAAAATAATATTCATTGTTATGTAGGATTTGTACAGGTAATGTCTGAATTATAATCAAATATATTCTGAAGTAATAAGCTATGAAAGTAATTGTTCGAGCACAAATGAATAACTGCATGTTAATATTGTATCATCAACAAAAGGATTTGATAAAACTTTTTCAATTATTAGAATAATGAAATTTTATGTATTATCATCTATTTTCTTTTATAGTAATTTCATACATTAATATCGCATATGTGCATATATACATACGCGCGCGCACACACACACACACACACACACACACATATCGATTTGAATTATTTAAATAAGTATTATTAACATTATTAGAACTATCGTTTACGTCTCATACACGCCACACACATACGTCATCTACATAGACTAAATTTCTTCTTCTGAAATATTTTATTAATTTTTAAATTTAGTTAAAGAAAAATATTCTTTACTTCATAAGAAATAAAGTTATTATAAAGCAACAACTTGATTAATGAAATTAAATACAATGATAAGGCATTACCCAATACAAGTTAAATTCTACGTTTTGTTAAATCATTAGTTCACATTTCGTTTATTAACACTCAAATGATGTCGGGTTACCGGTGGATCGGCTAGTACGAGAAATGGAGTTCTGCAGTTATTTAGCGTGATAGTAGCCAGCTCATTAATATTTAATTGTCAGGGTTATGCCACGCTCATTGGGAATCGGCGCGACTGAATTCTACGACTAATAATTTATCCTCGGTGCCTTCGCAGCAGTTCCTCTCTAATAGCAAAATAGGAAGGGGTTGACCAACTCTATGGCCACTCGTTACATAGTTATTACAAAGGCCGACGCAAACCTCCCTAGGGTTTTATCTGTACTATTCCGAATGGATAGTTATTCAGAGATAGTTACTATATCAAATAAGCTATGAAAAATCTTTGTTAATATATAAGATCACAAGAATAATATTGATTCACGTTGAAATAAATAATAGAAACATTAAATATGTAAATATGTTTCATTATTTCACATAGAGCGTAGAGCTGGAAAAAAGTCAATTTCTAGAATACGTAACATACAACTATGTCGTTATATATGTATTTCTAACGTATATATTATTACACGACAACTCTATGGATTACTTCATTGAAATGATTATAGTATATATTTTATATTTTTTCAATTAATTTCAGAATAAAAAGTAATTTTTTTCCCCCTTATGTCGAATAATAGATATGTGCTTAGTAATTTCTATTTAAAAATAGAAGAAAACTTTCTATCTGCTTCTTAATTTTTACCCTTATAATAATTTTTTCTAATTATATAACAATTTTTTACCTTAAAAGTAATTATTATATTGTTTGCATTAATTTTTTCATAGTAATTTTCATATTCTTAATTTAATTAATAATCACTGCTTAAAGTATAAATAATAAATAGAAATAGTTTATACATTTTATAAATAAAAATTTTGAACAATTATAAATCATTCACAACAGTGATGAAAATTACAATAACAAAAATTTATTAATGAGCCTATAATACTTGTCTTGAATCTTTTGAAAAATAATAATGAAAATAAGATCAAAAAAATTATGATCATTAAAAAAGTGTATCAGTCGATGAAAGCGCTATTTTTTATATTCTTAAGGTATTAATACCTTAAAAGGATGATTTTTTCTTGATTCAAGTATTCGATTTCAACTAAATGAAAATTTTGAATAAAATTCATTGTTTGGTGAAAAATAATGATGATATAAAAATTGATAGAATCGAGCTCGGCACAATAAATCGAGCATATTAGGATTAAATTTACAGTATTATCGAATTTATAATTTTCTATAAAGCTTATGCTTATTAGTAATTTTTTTCTATGAAGAAATATGAATAGTTAAAAAAAAAAGATAATGTAAAAATGTTATGTATTTATAAATTGTAAACGAATCAAATATAAAAACTTATATCTAATTAATTCTAAATACAATTTTATATTATTGTTTTTTTAGTATCTTGTACGTTATGGAAATCGAGTTTTCATAATTTTCAATTTAGGCCTATAATTATGTTAAAAAAAAATTTAATAAAGAGGTAAAAGAGGTGAAGTATATGGAAAATGGATAAACATATGTCTCGTGAATTCGGGACTTTCCGATTTTACGATGAATTCATTCTTCTATTGTACTTCACCCATATGTTTTATTACTGTTTTTCCAATATTACAATTGCAGCACGAAAGTGAGTATAGCACGTAACATTACAGCAAGTATCAACATTTTTTTCATAATCAATAAATGCAGAATGAAACTAATGTTATATTAAAATTATAATGAAAAATAAATATTATTAAATGTTAAGGAGAAAATATAAAAATGCTTGCCCCCTCCCCCCCCCCCCCACCCAAATTGTAATTAGAAATATACATCCAGTATAGCATTGTTTTTAAAATGTATATTGCATAATTACTGAATAATACAACAATGATTTTGAAATCAATAAAAATGCGTATTTTGCAGAAAAGTACGTTTTTCTACGTAGAAATTGAAATAAATGTTCAAAGTATTACAAAATTAAATATCGTTTAAATTGAATTCTAAAATAAACAATTAAATGAATAAAAGGCATTCGTTGGTTCATGTAACAACGATAATTTTGTAAAAAAAAAAAAAAAAAGGTTTCATTGTATTTTAAATTACCACAATATTAATAATTTGAAAAGAATTTGATTTTTAGTTTTGCACAGGTTTGATTGTAAAAAGAAATAATTGTTTTTATTTCCTTTAAATAATATGCCGAAACTTCCTTCAAATACAAATGGAATTTTCTATTAAAGTAAAAATATCAACACATCACGAATAATAGCGGTTGTTGTATTTCTAAATAATATAGTAAAAATGTATTTAAAAATTTTCGCGATCTAACTTTTCTTCTATGATGTCAAGTTTTCCAATATCAAATGAAAGTAATCATATACTTGGAACTTCTTTGCACATACTACCTATTGACCAATATTTCAGAATATTTGGAAAGTTCGATATATTGTAAGTAGTCGTAATGATTGAATACTGATTTATTTATTTTACATAAAATAGAATTATTGTACTATATCAAATTATTTTAAAAAGTTTTGATATGTAAATAACGTGATTATTAAATATTAAATTGACATTTATATTTATAATACATAATAAATACATAAATTTCATTTAATTTTTTTTTTAATTATTGATAAATTTTACATAAAATTATTTTAGTTAAAATCGATAAATATATATATATATATATATATATATATATATATATATATATATTAACTATTAGTAATCGGTATTTATTAATTTAATAATAGAATGAGTTCGGAGGCAATGATTTTCCATGATTAAATTGTTATGCACGATGATCGAGAGTTAAATTATAATATGCGAATATTGATGGATTGCAAATTATTTATTAAAATCTTTTATAATTTCATTATTTGATTGTATATTTCAAAATTGATAAATAAATAAATGTTATATATTATGATGTAAAAGTTATAATATATATTAAAATATTAATATTTATTAATATTTATTAAAAGTATTATATTTTTATGTTAAAACTATAATTTGACGTAGTTGTGGTTCAAATAATATAAAAGTAAATAATGTAATTAATTACTAAATTTCAAATATATTTTAATTAATAATTTTGCATCACTAATTTATAGAATTTAAAAATATAATAAAGTCCATATCGTAAAGATTAACGACTTATATACTAGTAAGATGATTTTTTAAATGGTTTTTATGTCTTATAAAAAAATTTTAATTAATGTAGAAATTCAACTTTTTTTTTTTTATTAAATTATAATGTATGATTATAGTATAGTATTTTTAAAATAAATTATAATTAGTAGAATATAAAATCAATTGAATTTGATTATCGTCAATATTAAACTATAAAGTCGTAAATAATACAAAGGGGA